ATGATTACAGTAGCTGGCCCGCTGACAATGAATGGCGCGCTTATTTGCTCGTTCGGGTTCGGTTCGAATGAAACGATTGGATGGTTGTTTTTTCTTTTTCTTCTTCTTCTTCCCACGGAGTGCCACTCGAACCAGTGCACTTATAGTATCGGTATCTCTTTTGATTTTTTTCCCTGCTTGAAGGCCACGTAACTTCAATTTGTTTTCAGCAATAGAAAAGCAAGCAAAGAGGGCAGAGTCTCGTTCAGCAATAACATTTGGGCCTGCGGCTTCCAGGTGGCTCCGATCATATAATGAGCGGGGAGTTGGGGATGCTGCACGAGGCAAGGAGAGAAGTGGGAAGGAAAATGGGACACCTTGAGTGTCCCCTTGATTAATACCACCACGCAAAAGTTTTTAATTTTTTTTTTTTTTTTTTACTTTATGGGCATCATTAACATTTTCTCTACTACAAGGAACACCCAGATACTCGCAGCTCAGCCCCCTGGGACAAATTCAACTTCAGAGATTTTTTTCCCGGTACTTTTTAAAAATGTTATTTAGGTTTTTTTTCCGTTTGTTTCAGGTGTTTTTGGGAGGAAAAAAAAACATTTTCCGTGGTAAATTGATATAGGGGTTTATCAATGGGTTTCCTTTTAAGAATTTGGGAGGTTTATATATAATTATATATATGTATAAAGAAAGAAGACTTTCCAATGCATTTCATGGCCTTCAATTCGATGCAGATTTTCACGATTCGCACAAATGCCGGGTGAATGTGGATTCTGCTGAAATTCTTTATGCACGTAAAGAAAGTAGCACCAAAAGGAAGGAAATTTGTGCCTGGTGGATTCTTTCTTCTGATTTGAAAACGAGTTACCACTCAATTTCTTTGGTACTGTATACAGTACTGTGTTCAATATCCGGCCATGATGAGGCGTTCACGGTCGTCACGGCCCTCGGACCACAATGTGTTTCCATTTCGACCACGTACGTCGTGCGCACGATTTCCCACAATAAGCACCTAAACTCCCTCGCCGGGCGTATTCCATCGGGCCGACTGAGAATGTGACTACGTTTGATTTGGCTTCACACAGCATTTCGTTTGACTTTACTCGCTCCAAGTGGGCTCTCGGTGTCCAATGTCATCTTGAGCTTTTTCGCGTTTCTTCCCGATGACAAATCAACTTGAGCGGATTGAGAGTTGAGCTCACTCACCGCTGTCTGGTAGCGTTGACTGCGTCTCTCTGCCGAAGCCCCCGGGATCTCTGTACGCCGAGTGCGGGTAGGCGTACTCGGTTTTTCCACACGGAAAGGCACCACCGGGAACCATCCCGTTCAGGTTGTAGTGAGCGTACGCGTAAGGGCTCACGTGTGGAGTCGAGTAGGACTGCTGCGCCGCGTAAAAGTCCTGCGAGCCGTGGAGAGCGGCGCCGTGGCCGCCGTAGAACCCCCCGTCCGCGGGTGGCGTTTCCGCCGCCAGGCTCGGGGAGCCGCGGAGGTTGGGTTTCTTCTCGAACGCAGGTGATGGCTGCCCGTTCATCGCGGAGGTTGTCGACGCGGCGGCGAGCGTTCCGTAACACTCCGGGACAAAAGAAACGAGAGTGTGGAGCTGGCGTTCCCGAGCCCGTCCACGGTGGCGGCGCCCAGCCCACAAGTGGAGCTCCTAATTACAGGGCGCGCCGAGCTGAGCCAAGCCGGGCAGGAGAGAAGGAGCGCAAGTCTCCCTCTCATTGGCTCTCCTTCGCACTCCCAGCCTCTGCCCCGGGGCCAAGACGGCACTGCTTGTCGCCTGTCTGACTCCCTTCTTCTCCCCGCAGAAACCTCCAGTGAACCTCTCCCTAAAACCTTTAAAGACGCCGAGGCGCACTAGCAACCAACCGCCCCTCAAACAAACAAAAGAACTTTTTTCAACTCACCTGCACTCGCGACTGAATTCCACGCGCATCACGCGAAGTGGGCGGGGCTGGCAAAAGCACTCGCACGAGATCCAAATAGAAATCCAGACAAAAAATGGATTAAAAAACGGTCAGTGAATAGGCAGCCAACTGATTTGACTCCTTTGCCGAAATAAAAATAGGCATAGACTGTAATGCACTCGGGTACAATAAAAACATTTTTAACTGTCAACAATGCATGGCACAATACCGGACAACATTTTATTGTTTGGCTTCTATGCTCTCGAAGCAACGTGTTCACAAAGCTTGGGCAACTGACCTACAAAAGAAAAATCTTAACTAAGCTGATAATAACTGGATAAAAATACTTTCTCTTTTTTTGAATTGGTAGCTTTAGGGATGAGAGCGCAAGACATAGCGCATTGCCCACCAATCGTTCTTGGAACTGACACCATCAAACAATTGTCTTGAATAAAGCCAAGGTCATTGGGAATATCCTGCTTCTCCTAATCTGTTGCGTTGGCTCATTCGTGTTTATTGGTTCACATTCCTCTGTGTCATTGCTGCCTTTTATGCCTTAGATTCCCCCAAATGTCAAACACCCAATCAGGATTTTCACTGTGGGCGCATGTGAGCTCTCCCTTCTGATTTTTTTAACGTCATGTTGTCGTCTGTGAAGGTTGAAAAACGTAACATGGGGAAAACTGGGACTTACTTAAACATTCAGGGGGAAGCATGAGAAGTCCACAAGGGAATGTCTACACAAGGAACAAGAAACTGCAGGTGATGCCAACAGAGCCCACTGGCGTGGTGACGGCACAAACTTGCACCGAGTCTCAAGTGGGAGGTGCAGAGCACCCTGGCTGAGGAGGCTGCCCGGCTGGCCCCTCCCGAACAACACCTGACAAATTCACTAAAGGAGGGTGACACGTATTTTCACTTTGTTACTTCCCACCACTGACAGTGGGAATAAATACACAAATTGAGCAAACCAACTTGCATCAGGGTGTTGCGATAAGGCATGTTGTTTACGCATTAGCTCTGCTCCTATTCAAATGGAGATGCTGGCTCCAGACTCACATGGAGAGCCATTTACACTCAATCAAGGTTTCTTTACAATCGAGCTATCTGCCTTTTTACATGTGTTGACTTGAGCCCCGGGCCTCCGTCATGGCCTGGGGGGGTGGTGTGTGTGTTTGTGTGTGGGGGGTCAACCTTTAACACATTGGACCGACAATGAACTTAAAAAGCATATAGGTCCACAAAAGGTCCCAGTGGAATCCTAAAAGCATATGAGTAGGCTTCTCTAACGTACAATACATCATTCAATTCAACCCCTTAAATGCAATTATTAATATAGTTCGCATTTACTTCAGCTTTTTTTTTGTTTTATGAAAAAATTCTGCAAAATAACGTAGTCAGGCAAAACAGCATCAAGATTTTTGTTCTCCTTTGAACCACTGACCGAACCCACAATGACTAAACTCAATTGTCAATTTTGCACCATCTCATGGTTTTGCATCAGAAAAAGCATCGCGCGTTTTCGATTGCATTCAGGTCTGTGGATCGGGCTGGCCACTCCAGACTGCTCATCTTTGTTGGTCTGGAACCAAAATGCTGCTCGGTTACTGGTGTGTGGGCCCATTGTCTTTCAAGGTCCTTTCTTTTTTTTTTATATATATATAAGGCAACAAGGCCATGTCTTCAAACAAAAGCCAACACGGTAGCTCGCATTTATCAGCCCATAGAAGGTTGCATCATTTCTCTTGAGGTCACTCAATGTTGGACAATTGTGGAATGTATGGCGCAATCGATCTGACCCGCAATGCCGGCAGTTGGCATTTTGCCATACAGTGGAACTGGAGGACTGCAGGTCGTCTTCCCGTGTGCAGCGATAAAAGCTTGCTATTGGTACAAAATGCTGCAGCTGGACTCCTGACAAGGAAGTTCAATGCTAGGCAACTTGCAGTGGGCGGAGATTTCTGGAGAGAGGGCTAGCTAGGTGGTGCTGACCCAACTGGACGACGTCGTACGGATTCTGCTCCGATCGTTCTGGACATGATTTGCAGCGACTGAGCTGGACTAGATCCCCTGGGAGGCGCCGCTATGAAGAGTTCTTCATCGACTACCTGGGCCCGGTCCAAAGGGAGGCCCGCCTCTCCGAAGGCTTCTCCCTGCAGCGTTTTCATCTTGTTAAATGACCTAGCACACTCAAACCACACGGTGAAGGTCCGAATCCCCCAAAGATCTCCCAAATTAAAAAGGACTCAATCTACAGGCTTATGATTATTTATTTACAAGTTGTTTTATGCAGGGCAAACCCCATCCCTGCAAAATGACATTTTCAGGAATGTACAATATGATGTTCTCTGCACCTTTTTTTTGTTTTTGTTTTTTTACACAACCACTCTAAAGATCTCCGAATGCAACGTCCCTCCTTTGCTCAGACACTGGAACGCCGAAAGCATCGGCCACGCTCTCACTAGTGAGATTTACATGTTCCTTGTATCGTATAAAACGGAGACCTTATAATTACACGGGGAACTGGATGAACTTGGCAACGTGATCCAAAGGGGAGGTTAGATGCGGGTGAGCGGCACAACACTAACATGATGGTCGGCTTCTTTGCGGCGTGGTCTTAAAGGAACAGCGTCGCAGAATCAAATCCCGGAAAGCCTTTGGGTGACTTTGCCTCAAGGAGGCAGACCTGAAACTCTTGCCAGTACAAATGAGGATACGAGCCAACTTTTGGGTACGTAGTCTTAAGCCCCCAAAATAGCGAGTCTCAGAGAAGGTAAAAAAAGAAACGAACAGGTCGAGCACAATGCGATTGATCCTCTTTCTGATGATGTTTTCGTGTTGACTTTCTAATACGTGTATGCATTCCCTCTTCTATTTGACAAGATTGAGCTTTTCGTGTTGACTTTATGTGTATGCATTCCCTCTTCTATTTGACAAGATTGAGCGATGGGCCAGCGCAGAAAAGAAAGAAAACGGAGGGGAAAAGCATGGAGTCATTTGATTTTCTAGGCGGTAGGAACCATTGGTGGCAGGCGAGGGCTGCAGTGCCCAGATTTTTCCGGCGGGAGGAGCTCATGGCGTCGCATCCCACCCCCCCCAGATTTTTCCGGCGGGAGGAGCTCACGGCGTCGCATCCCACCCCCAAGATCGGAACCAAGCGACAGAAATGGGAAGAAGGCAGAGCAGATTGCTGCGGGAGGAAAATAAGGAGCGGTGTGTCCGTCCCATCAGTCTCTGCTGGAGGTTCATCAAGTGTTTTGAAAGTTTTGTTACCCCTCCCCCCGTATCCATCCAGAGGTTGAAGAGAGAGGCATCGCTGGCCCGCGACCTTCGGCACCGGAAGACTGCCGGTTTGACTCTCTCTGTGTCGGAAAAAGCAAGAATCAGAATCAATCCGCTCACTTGCTGATTTGTGCTTTCAAGGATCCCAAAAGTCTGTAAAAGCACTCGATCAAAGACAAAATGGGAAGGGAAGTAAAAGTTGCATGTTTTTTGTTTTTAAAGAATATGAAATGATGTTTTCGAATGAAGCCACTCCGCTGTTTGTTTCTGCGTGCAACTGCAAAGGAAACAAAACGGGGATTTTCACACCGGGGTGATGGAATGGTGGAGCGTGAGCCAAGGGGCGGACCACGACAACGCGGGCCGCTTCGTGGCTCACCGGACGTTTTCCGACCGCATTTCATGTTTGCGATATGCTCGCATGCCAGAAATACACGCGGATGTACACGGCGGGTTCTGCGGCGGTCGGCCGAGATCTCGGGACTGCCTTCTAATTGCCGTTGTGTCTTGTCTCTGTTTGGAACCGTGAGCGCTCCGCCTTGGATGAGCTCAGCTCAATTTGGAAAGACGTTGCTTATTTGGGGGGGGGGGGGAACGAAGTCTCAGCTGACCTATTGAGGTTCTTCCTCATCCGGTAGATATGAAACACCAAAAACAAAGCGCTCGATTCACTCCAGATGAAGTACGTGCTGGGCCCGTATTATTTGTCTCGAAACGTGTTGCAGTGGGACAAATACACGACTGACTAGCGAAGAAGGAAGACGAAGGACCACGCCGAGGGCCCGAGCGTAATTGCTTTTCGCCGCGACTGACCTTATGTGAGCTTCTTGGCTTTGTTGTAAAGCGAGTCCACCACCTTGCTCATGTTTTGAATGGTCTCCAGGGCCGCTTCGTACGTCTTGTCCACCGCGGGTTCATCAAAGACAATGAGCACGCCTTCACCTTGGTCTAAAATCCCTGCCGGCATCAGTGGGAGGACCAATAACAGAAGCGAGGAGAGCGGGAGATAAATCAAGCTGCGTGTCTGCTACATTCGGCATCTTCAGATCAGCAACAACATTACACGGAGTCAAAATGGCTTTTGAGCAAGATGGTTATCACCGATGGTCAATTGGTGGTTTTACTGCTCCAGTGATGACTCAAAGCGGATAGCGATACACAAAAAAGAAAGAAAAAAAGAGCAACCACGAATGAATATGCAACCGCCTTGCTGTTCCGCAGTAAAAAAAAAAAAAAACACAGAAAAGTGTAAGACGTATCGGAAAGCTGTACATCCCAACGGCCTACATTGTTTGTCCCACTACTGTCGAAAACGGGCCAGGTCACCATTTCGATGATTCCATTCGAAGGGAAACAAAAGTATTTCATGATTTGCTCAGCTCCTCGTGCCTTCTGGGCCCGCCCCGAAATTGTGCACTAGGAAGCGCCTCGGTGACGTACCGTGAAACTTTTGGTCCAGAATCATTTGTGATAATTTCCTCTCGACATCAACCTGAAAGAAAGGCACGGTGGGATTCTGCGCAATTTCACCGCACTCGTGCGCACACACAAAATAAGAAATGAAGCATGCTGCATAAAATGAATGAATGAACAAACAAATGAAGAGGAACACGTACCTTCGACAGTTTGATGATGGAGGAAATGTGTGCCATCTGGTAGAGAAAAGACCGATAGAGGGGTGCATTTTAATTTCTGCTCACTATATTGGCAACCCATTCTACATGAAGTCTACAATTTAAAGGAAAACAAACAAAAAAAAACATCTCGTGAAGGTAAAGTGGAAAGAAGTGACAGCGGAAGTTAGCGCAGCATTTACTTGGACCCTGGAGAAAGGCTCAATGACCCTGATGAGGTTCTGCTCAAGCAGGTTGTCGTAGAGTTTGGTCAGATGCGTTCGGATGATGGGATCCTCCCGCAGTTCTGCTTGATACTCGGTCAGGGCCTTTTGGAAGGAAGCAGAGCGCAGCTTACGCCAACAAGCGGATCATTGACAAACGCGTTGGCCACGCCGGCTCGTTCTCGTCAGGCCGCCGCACAAACCTTTTCAAAGTCGGCTAGCGACCGATTCTTGCTGGCCTGCGCTACACATTTCAGAGAATCCGTCTGGAGGAGAAGAGAAGAAGAAGAATACAGCTGCAGCGGTTGAAGGTACAATTTATCCCCGGGCCGCTTTCAAATCAAATCTCGTGAAAATGACACGATTCCACGACAATTTTAGCCAAAAGTTAAAGCTTTCATTCCAAATCAAAAAGTTAAAGAGTCCTTTGTCAGGAATAAAGAAAGACCGGGATCGAGCACCTGTCTTCCAGCGTAGCGCACAACCAGCTTGCCACTTATGAGGGCCTGGACATCTTCTGGTCTGAAACAAAAGCACATTCGTGTCGAAAACCGTGTCGTTCAAAGTTGGGATCAAACAAGTCATAATCGCATTTGAAATAATAGCGTCGGATGTCTCATTGAACCAACACAAGAGGTTGGCCAAAGTTAACCCTCAAGCTATTTTTATCGATAATTGGTGAGAAACTAATCCGAGTGTCAACCAGGCCTGCTTTTATTTGACTTTTAGTTGAAAGAAACCATTTCTAAGACCATTTAAGCCCTTTTGAAAGCTCAGAGAGCCGACCATGCTGGTCAAGGTTACAATAGATTGCTGGATGTAAAAAAAAAAAAAAAACTGTCTTTGCTGACCAATTTGACCAACCGAGTAGCGTCACACTTACGCGTTGAGCATGATTTTGCAGAGCAGCATATATTTGAGCGCTGTGACGGCTCGAGGACTGTCGATGGCGTCGTAGCCCTCAAAGGCTTCATAGAAGTACGAGTAAGCCGTCTTCCAGTCTTTCTCCTCTGCTGCATGAATAATTCCTGAACACACACAAAAGGAAGGTCGGGTCCAAGGAATGTTGGACAAGACGTATCATCTTGTCATGGCACATTTTCAACCTTTCTTTTTCATTTTCCTCCCAGTTAGTCATTGGAGAAAGCTTTTGTTTTTGTTTCTTACCCGATTGCATGTCTAAAGCCGCTTGTAATTTTGGCGGGCAGTAGATGGCGTTGGCCGTTGTCCTGGCTGACGTGAGGGCAGCGCGAGCTTTGGGCAGGTTACTCAGGGCGTGATAGGTTTTACTCTCCAGCAGCTGCACCTCCACCAGCAGGGCTTTGTCATCCATCTTCTTCAGTTCCTGCAGTAGCTGCGATCCTGGAGGCGGAAACAAACACGCAGTTGTTACAAAAAGGGACTCGACTTCAACATGACATATGCAGACGTTCTACCACAGATCGATGCCGTTACTATGAAACATACGGTGATACTTTTAGTCATCAACCTGCAAACAGGATAGGGACGGAGAAACACTTGGACACTCACCAAGTTGTAGGGCCTCCAGGTAACACTTTGTGTCGAAATATAACGAGATAAGTCGAGCCTTGGGACAAAGCAGGAAAGAAAAGTCTCACAGCTGAAACGTACAGTGGTCATGTTGAAAAGGTGAAGCAATACATTCCACGCGTTGCCATAATCCACACACAACCTGTTCCCTCAAAGACAGTGTCAGCGTTGAAAAGAATCTCAATATTCCAATATGAAGCTGCATCAACCAACGTTCTGAAAAATGCGCTGCCATGTCAAAAGCCAAACTGTCATGTGCGCAAAAAGCCTTGGGCCCGACGCAAACCAAGCGAAGAGACCAAGTGACACTGAACTGTCACGCGGTATGCAAAAAGATTTTTTTTTTTCTGTCCGTGCACAACAGACTGAGAGGGGGGGGAACTGATATGTGATGCAACCGCTTCAGCTCAAAGCACAAGTGCTAATTAGAGCAGGGATCAGGCTCCCTTAAATGGTTCTTTTTCTATTTGTCACCTCCAGGGCCTGTCTGAGGAAGGTCCGCTTCTCAGTCTTGGCCCATTCGATGCACTCCAGGCAGAGCTCGACTTCCTGACCAGTGGCGGCCTCCATATCCAGAAAGAGGTCGAGCAGGGAGCGCACCAGTCGGGCTGCTTTGGCCTTCGAGATGGAGTTGAGGAATGGCCGCACATAGGTCAAGAGACCGCCAAGCTCTGAAGGCAGATGGAAAAGTAGTCATTCTTATAAGTGCGACTTCAACGGTAAGGTGTATTAAAAAAAAAAGATCGGAAAGCTGTACATCCCAACGGCCTACATTGTTTGTCCCACTACTGTCGAAAACGGGCCAGGTCACCATTTCGATGATTCCATTCGAAGGGAAACAAAAGTATTTCATGATTTGCTCAGCTCCTCGTGCCTTCTGGGCCCGCCCCGAAATTGTGCACTAGGAAGCGCCTCGGTGACGTACCGTGAAACTTTTGGTCCAGAATCATTTGTGATAATTTCCTCTCGACATCAACCTGAAAGAAAGGCACGGTGGGATTCTGCGCAATTTCACCGCACTCGTGCGCACACACAAAATAAGAAATGAAGCATGCTGCATAAAATGAATGAATGAACAAACAAATGAAGAGGAACACGTACCTTCGACAGTTTGATGATGGAGGAAATGTGTGCCATCTGGTAGAGAAAAGACCGATAGAGGGGTGCATTTTAATTTCTGCTCACTATATTGGCAACCCATTCTACATGAAGTCTACAATTTAAAGGAAAACAAACAAAAAAAAACATCTCGTGAAGGTAAAGTGGAAAGAAGTGACAGCGGAAGTTAGCGCAGCATTTACTTGGACCCTGGAGAAAGGCTCAATGACCCTGATGAGGTTCTGCTCAAGCAGGTTGTCGTAGAGTTTGGTCAGATGCGTTCGGATGATGGGATCCTCCCGCAGTTCTGCTTGATACTCGGTCAGGGCCTTTTGGAAGGAAGCAGAGCGCAGCTTACGCCAACAAGCGGATCATTGACAAACGCGTTGGCCACGCCGGCTCGTTCTCGTCAGGCCGCCGCACAAACCTTTTCAAAGTCGGCTAGCGACCGATTCTTGCTGGCCTGCGCTACACATTTCAGAGAATCCGTCTGGAGGAGAAGAGAAGAAGAAGAATACAGCTGCAGCGGTTGAAGGTACAATTTATCCCCGGGCCGCTTTCAAATCAAATCTCGTGAAAATGACACGATTCCACGACAATTTTAGCCAAAAGTTAAAGCTTTCATTCCAAATCAAAAAGTTAAAGAGTCCTTTGTCAGGAATAAAGAAAGACCGGGATCGAGCACCTGTCTTCCAGCGTAGCGCACAACCAGCTTGCCACTTATGAGGGCCTGGACATCTTCTGGTCTGAAACAAAAGCACATTCGTGTCGAAAACCGTGTCGTTCAAAGTTGGGATCAAACAAGTCATAATCGCATTTGAAATAATAGCGTCGGATGTCTCATTGAACCAACACAAGAGGTTGGCCAAAGTTAACCCTCAAGCTATTTTTATCGATAATTGGTGAGAAACTAATCCGAGTGTCAACCAGGCCTGCTTTTATTTGACTTTTAGTTGAAAGAAACCATTTCTAAGACCATTTAAGCCCTTTTGAAAGCTCAGAGAGCCGACCATGCTGGTCAAGGTTACAATAGATTGCTGGATGTAAAAAAAAAAAAAAAAACTGTCTTTGCTGACCAATTTGACCAACCGAGTAGCGTCACACTTACGCGTTGAGCATGATTTTGCAGAGCAGCATATATTTGAGCGCTGTGACGGCTCGAGGACTGTCGATGGCGTCGTAGCCCTCAAAGGCTTCATAGAAGTACGAGTAAGCCGTCTTCCAGTCTTTCTCCTCTGCTGCATGAATAATTCCTGAACACACACAAAAGGAAGGTCGGGTCCAAGGAATGTTGGACAAGACGTATCATCTTGTCATGGCACATTTTCAACCTTTCTTTTTCATTTTCCTCCCAGTTAGTCATTGGAGAAAGCTTTTGTTTTTGTTTCTTACCCGATTGCATGTCTAAAGCCGCTTGTAATTTTGGCGGGCAGTAGATGGCGTTGGCCGTTGTCCTGGCTGACGTGAGGGCAGCGCGAGCTTTGGGCAGGTTACTCAGGGCGTGATAGGTTTTACTCTCCAGCAGCTGCACCTCCACCAGCAGGGCTTTGTCATCCATCTTCTTCAGTTCCTGCAGTAGCTGCGATCCTGGAGGCGGAAACAAACACGCAGTTGTTACAAAAAGGGACTCGACTTCAACATGACATATGCAGACGTTCTACCACAGATCGATGCCGTTACTATGAAACATACGGTGATACTTTTAGTCATCAACCTGCAAACAGGATAGGGACGGAGAAACACTTGGACACTCACCAAGTTGTAGGGCCTCCAGGTAACACTTTGTGTCGAAATATAACGAGATAAGTCGAGCCTTGGGACAAAGCAGGAAAGAAAAGTCTCACAGCTGAAACGTACAGTGGTCATGTTGAAAAGGTGAAGCAATACATTCCACGCGTTGCCATAATCCACACACAACCTGTTCCCTCAAAGACAGTGTCAGCGTTGAAAAGAATCTCAATATTCCAATATGAAGCTGCATCAACCAACGTTCTGAAAAATGCGCTGCCATGTCAAAAGCCAAACTGTCATGTGCGCAAAAAGCCTTGGGCCCGACGCAAACCAAGCGAAGAGACCAAGTGACACTGAACTGTCACGCGGTATGCAAAAAGATTTTTTTTTTTCTGTCCGTGCACAACAGACTGAGAGGGGGGGGAACTGATATGTGATGCAACCGCTTCAGCTCAAAGCACAAGTGCTAATTAGAGCAGGGATCAGGCTCCCTTAAATGGTTCTTTTTCTATTTGTCACCTCCAGGGCCTGTCTGAGGAAGGTCCGCTTCTCAGTCTTGGCCCATTCGATGCACTCCAGGCAGAGCTCGACTTCCTGACCAGTGGCGGCCTCCATATCCAGAAAGAGGTCGAGCAGGGAGCGCACCAGTCGGGCTGCTTTGGCCTTCGAGATGGAGTTGAGGAATGGCCGCACATAGGTCAAGAGACCGCCAAGCTCTGAAGGCAGATGGAAAAGTAGTCATTCTTATAAGTGCGACTTCAACGGTAAGGTGTATTAAAAAAAAAAGGAACATTTTGAAGGACAACATTTAAAACAGGGTCTCGACCTTTGATGTGTAAGCGTTTCATACTTGGCGGGAGCATTTTGAAACTGAGAGTGAAACCCAAAGGGCCATTGACAAGACTTTCAGATGGCTCTTGGTATGGTTTGATTAGTGTGAGGACAATCATGTCCATTTGGAGGATTTCAAGTGATATTTGGGGCACACCACATTCAGGCAAAATGTGGAAAACGGTGACATTCAAAGATTTTATTTTTTTATTGTTCTTGAATGTAAACATAACGGATTTTCTGAAATGAAGTTTTCTCATTTGAATTGGCTCAAAAATGAAGACCGAGTATGAATGATATGATGCAGTCATGGTGTCATTCCATCAAGAGTTCTTGTGTTTACCTTCAGCCTGTCCTGTCTTGGCCAGCAGTCCGCCCAGCTCCAGGATGCTCTGCTCTTTAACCCGCACAGCCTCCTCATCACTGTCCTGAATGTCTCTCTTGACTGCAAAAACACACACACACACACACACACACACACACACACACACACACACACACACACACACACACACACACACACACACACACACACATACACACACACACGCACACACACACACAGGAATAATGTCAGGCTAAGTGCTACGAATACTTTGGATTTGATTCACGTATTCTCTACTTTTAAGAACAGAACTCGGCACTTATTACAAGCTGCGTGTGATGGCAAGCAAGACAACAATGAAAACATACACCCCAAAACAAGCTCAACGTGCTTGATGAAGCCTTAAAACGAGCCGCAAATTGAGTGGAACAAATCGGAGCACCGTGGCAGCAAGTTGAACGCTGCTTTCACGTTTCACTTGATGTTTGGCAGAAAATTACGGACGCCGGCGATTTCCCTGCTCGGGCGACCTCCCCAACTGTCACCCAAGTTGGTGCCAAATGAACGCAAGCCGGCCGGCCGAGGCTAACATTAGCGCAAGTCCTGCTCTTGCCGGCGTGGTGCTTGCTAGGCGGCTAGCGCGCCGCTGCTGACTCACGGTAAAAGCGCGGCGGGAGACGAGATTGTCGGCGAACGTAGCTTCCACGTTCCCTGCTAACGAGCTAACAACAAAGATTCCTAATTGAATCGCTCGCGCGTTGCGTTGCGGTTGTGAAGCTCCGAAGACGGAACAAAAACAGACTTTGGCTTCCAGCGGCACGCATTTCGGGTATGTTTACCTATGGAATGTAAGATATCGATGGAGGCGCTGCGATCCGTTCCAAGAAGAGACTGCGCTCTCTGAAACTCGGCCACTGCCGCGGCTGCCATGGTTCCTTTCCCGCGCCTGCCGGCCACACAGCTGCGCTCGGTTCAGTTCGGCTGCTGGTTTTCAGGCTCGGGTTCTTCACGCGCCTGCCGGAACAATGATGCCCCCTACAGGCCAGGCCTGGTTCTTCATTTAGCGAGGAACGAATCTAGCTAGCCCTCGTCGAACCCGCTCCAATTTTGGAGTTTGGGGAAGGGTCATGAATTTATTATAGTTTGGGAATTTTCACCCCCCCAGTTACCATGATCTTGAATGTGATTGGTTAGTTCTGAATGCAGCCACATGGAATGTGCACATTTCTGCAAACGCATTTTATCAGTTTGTTTTTTTACTGTACTTCCCTCTCTATTCCCCTCACATTGAGGGTGAAAAACATTTTGAAATTATCTTGGTCTCATTTTTCGATCACAAAACCTGGCATTTAAAAAGGGGTGTGTAAACTTATTATATCCACTGTACAGCCAGTTTAGTGTTGGAGCAGTTGGGTCAGGATATTTGATCGATGGTATTTGAGTTGAAAAACAAAAAAACACCCACAGAAAAAATTCAACAATGACACGACGTTTATTGGACATTGTTTTGTTGTGCAATGATATTGAGTGAATTAAAAAAAAAAGTTAGACATTTTTATGATCAACACAATGTACTACAAACTATTACATAATTATACTGCGTTTATTAAATAAATAAATAAAAAACATATCCCATACATTTCTAACTAATCTACATTGAGGAATATATCCCGAATTCCCCAACTTAAACTTCACATTAAGTGGTTCAGGGCATTTTGTGAACCTATTTTTAATACGAAATACTTCTGAATTAAGTATAAAAAAAAATAACCTTTATTTAAACAGATTTACATGAGCATTAATACAAATCTTTCATTTTGTGTGTTCCAAGTCATAGGACGATGGCGAGGTAGTCACAAGCCTGAAAGCAGAGTAAACAGAAACCGTGAAGAGGTGTTAAAAACAAGAAACCCGTACAGGTGGATCCTCGGTTTACGATAGTCACCAAACGACGACGTTTCTTGGCAACAAAGGACACGCCGCAAACTAGTTTGTGGCCCTTTCAGCGTCCCATGTCGACCATGGGAGAAAAAGCTAAAGGAATCATTTTGTCACAGTTGCCCAACTCGCGGATGCCGCATGCTGAAGAAGGTGCCGGTAAGTCACCAAAACAATTCGCCAACCACCAAAAGAGAGTTGAAGAAATGAAAAGAACAACAAGAGGTAGTCATACAGTATGTAGGTGGCAACTCATATGTGATGTATCGCGAGTTTACCACGCAGCTTCTGCCGCAACGATTTACTATTTACTGCACTGAAAGCCACAATAACCGACCAGAATTCTACCTTTGGCCACAATGCCGACACAGGTAAGCCATTTTAAACTAAGAAGACACGTTTTTCCTGGAGTTGACACACAAGCTGCTGACTGTTTATAAACAAAGACTGTTTTGAAATTTACACACACACTCTCTCTAATACTTATGACCGTCAGTACCCACGAAGTTTGGAACCGAGTAACGTACCTGGCAACTTATCAGCAGGTTGGGAGAGGAGGTTGCATTGGATGCAAATGAAAAAACAGGGGTGTAGGGGCAGTCTTCCATGTGCTCCGTCACTCTGGATTCCAAAAGATTCCGCAGGACATCTGCGGTGATGTTCTTCATCTAAAGCCGGTGAACAAGACGACACAATTTCAGCAAAAGTAGATCTCTTCTGACTTAAATTTACCATCTTTCTGAAAGGCACAAATATTTCTTCAGTCATATGTTCAAGTTTAAGAAAGAAAAAAAAAAAGGTTGTCAATCTGGTGACCGGTGAGTGTGTTCTTAGTTTGGCTAATGCTAAACGCGATCTTGGTTGGCAGCTCGACAGCAGTAAACAGGTCACTGCACTCATCACGATCAAAGTTTTTGTGCTCGGTCCAGGCGGCTACCGGAAGTCGCCTTTGTCATTGACCTCACGTCAGACCCACTTTGTGACACTGCAAACGCGCAGTCAGAAACGCTCAGCTTGAATTTGGTCGGAGCGCAACATGAATTATTAGAACTACATTCCCCATGATTCTTAGACACGGAAGGAGGAAGCGGATCTTGTTCCAGTATGACGAAAACATGGCCCTGTTAGCGATTGGATGCGGATGAGAACGCAAAAGTCAGAGGAAGGAGTTTGTTGTTGTTGTTGTTTTAATTCTACAAACCTTTGTATTTATGTACAGTCCACATGGACAAGAGATGAAATGGCTGCTGATGTTCAAGTTGCTCCTAGCAAACACAAGATGAGCATCAGTCCTCAACAAGTCCCAAAGTCCTCGGTGGGTTCCACAAACCCAATCCTGTCGGACGTACGTGCGGCACGTGGGGCAAATAACGAGAGCCTCTTCCAACCCTTCCACAACAGATGAGATATACTGCTGCTCAAATTGTTGGTTTCTCTCGTACTCTTCAATAATCGACATTTCTGCAGCGTAAGGGGAAAATATAAAACACACATTTTAAATGGCAACGATGCAAAAGGTATTCTAAGTTTCCTTTCAGAATCATTACTTTCTATGGAAGACTCGATTGTCGCTAACGAATACAGTAAAGTATGTAAAATGCTTAGAAAATGCAAGCAGAGCAAAAGTGTTTTTTTGCTGTTTATACGCCAATAACGATCATCAGGTCGAATTCGAGAATTTTCCTCCCGTGCAATCAAATCCAGGAAAAGTCAAGATACTTGGATGTCGCTGAAAGATTATCCCGAGCGAATAGCCTGCTGTGGCGGGAAGAGTGACTTTGCCTCCATGATGGGTGAGAAAACTTAATGTTAGGAACGTGACGATTAGCAGATTGGGCTGCAAGTGTGCAACGCTTTACCGTGAGACAGGAGCTCCTGCTGGATTTCCGCCAAAACCGCCAGTTCGTCATGATCCTTCATAACGTTGTGCATCTGTTCAGAAAGACGTCACGGTTGAACACCGCCGTGCAATTTGGGGCGAATGGCGATTTGTTCGGGGGACAAGCGTCGCACAAGGACTGCGTACCTCCGCAATGCCGCCTGGGCCCCACAAGGACGGCAATCTCCGATCCTCGGACTGCAGAGCCGTCCATTCCTCCTCCATGACCTCCTGGACGATGAGGGAGGTCGCCGGGCCGGCGCACTTGAGGCCCTCGCCCATGTTGCGATATCGGTCAAGCAACCTCGACCGGCGACTCTTGAGCCTCTCCACACAGCGCTGTTAAAAATAGAGGGTGAACATAGCACAGAACGCAGTCTCTTCGCGACGGCGATCGCCGCCTGCCGAGTAAGCGGTTGAATCCACTCCACCTTGCGATATGTTTCTTTCCACGGTGGAGTCGTTCCTTTATAAAGCGAGCGATGTCTTTGCAGAGACTCCATGTTTATCAGCGCGCACGCCAAGCAGCTTGACCGGAAGTAGCGTGTCAGGAGAACAACATTTGCGCACAACAAACAAACCAGAAGCAGTCTTTAAGACCGTGACGTAACCCGGAAGTGAATGTTTGCTGCTCGGGATTGCATTGTGGGACATGAAGTTGATTATCAGACGTCGGACAAGTGAGCGTATTTTGTCGATGAAATTCGTAACTTGGCAGCAAATTTCAGATAATTACAAAAATGAACGTATGCCTATGACAGGGTGTGTCACGATCAGGATCTTTTCAAGTTATGACGAGCGGAAGACGTTATGTTATGTTATGTTATGTTATGTTATGTTATGTTATGTTATGTTATGTTATGTTATGTTAAAGACCGTGACGTAACCCGGAAGTGAATGTTTGCTGCTCGGGATTGCATTGTGGGACATGAAGTTGATTATCAGACGTCGGACAAGTGAGCGTATTTTGTCGATGAAATTCGTAACTTGGCAGCAAATTTCAGATAATTACAAAAATGAACGTATGCCTATGACAGGGTGTGTCACGATCAGGATCTTTTCAAGTTATGACGAGCGGAAGACGTTATGTTATGTTATGTTATGTTATGTTATGTTATGTTATGTTATGTTATGTTATGTTATGTTATGTTACGTTACGTTACGTTACGTTATGTTATGTTATGTTATGTTATGTTATAGCACATTTCGGTGATCTTTTTACATTCGCCACTTCATATACCAAATATAATCCTGTAACATTTCACCTTTGTTCTTTAATTTACCTTTTGTCTATTTTAAGTAAATTCTAGTTGATCGATATCCCCAAACTGTAGCTGCTTTTTGACCACAATGACCAAATGTCCAGTGCAGTCGTGATCAAACATTTTACACCAAGTTCTATGTAAAAAAAAAAATCAAATAATAAATCTTCCAAAACAACCACCCTAACTCATCAAAGAAAACGACAATGACCACAATTCCAACATGAACCTTCTTTCAGTTACTCTCACAGTCAGTGATCAATGTTGTCGGTGATCTTTGTAAACAAACAGTAACAAAAAGTCGGCTACAGTACCAATATAGCAGCTAAAACACTGTCATAGCCAAATCACAGCACCTCTTTGATAAACGAGCTGAAGAGGTCACGTGTGGTTGGATATCTAAAAGCAGACTTGTACATTTCTGCAACTACTCTTTTATTTGGAAGACTCTCCCTCCCCCCAAAAAATATATATATATTTAAAAAATCACCCCTCAGCTTCACGTGTGACTTGAGAGCACAGGGATCCAAACTCGGTCCTCACGAGCCGCTGTCCTGCCTGTTTTCCAGCTCTCCCAGGAGCAACATACCTGATTCAAATAATCAATCCATCCATCCATCCATCCATCCATCCATGGAGCCTATCCCAGCCATCTTTGGGCAGTAGGTCGGGGACACCCTGAACCGGTTCCCAGCCCATCGCAGGGCACACAGAGACGAACAACCATCCGCGCTCACACTCACACCTCGGGACAGTTTGGAGTGTTCAATCAGCCTGCCATGCATGTTTTTGGAAAGTGGGAGGAAACCGGAGTACCCGGAGAAAACCCACGCAGGCACGGGGAGAACATGCAAACTCCACACAGGGAGGCTGGAGCCCGAGATCGAACCCAAGACCTCTGCACTGTGAGGTCGATGCGCTAGTATCAATCACATGCGAAACCTCGAAACCTTGAGAAAGCGCCGCAGATGGGAGAATTCCCCTTCCAGGATGACCAGGCTGCAACGGATAACAAATGGGCAACACTTGATCCAATATGCTGCTATACAATGTTTATGAGAATAATGAAAGAGTGAGTTCAATAAGATGAAAAGCTACAGGAAGACAGAACAAATCAAAGCGACGCCACTGCTTGTCGTGGTGCCATACTACCATAATCATGACTGTGACAATGTCTTACACTTGCACGTACACTGGGTCTTCTAATGTCCTGCACTACAATTGTTTGCAGATTTAGAATGATATGCAGGACAAAGACAGTACCTCAATAACATGAACATTATGAGTGAGTTTATTTTTGTGATGAAAAAGAAAAGTTCTCGCACTTAATGTTGGTTTCTTGTTGAGCAGTTTTGTGCCATCCATGAATGGTCATTTTGATGCACGATTACGGTATGTGGTTTTTTTTTTGTTTTGTTTTGCAACAACCCTTCAACCCTTTGTTGTTGGGCTAGGATAGCGGATCAACTACTATTTCTTATTTTACATACCATCTAGAAATATCTTTTGCAACAGCTACTATTCGATTTCGTCTCTTTCTGCATTTTGTGTCGCGATGATTCCAAACGTCTTCCAATTCTGAGCTGACCCACATCCTTCTCCTCCTCTACATCAGCAGCAGCAGCTGTGACACAGATGCTCGGCTGGATCAGCACCTCGGACAGCGAATGGGTTGCGATCGGCCGGAACCGACGGACTGCCGATGACTTCATCCGCCAGGTTGCGACACAGACGGCGAGTCGTTGGCGGAAACTGCAGCGGCGTTGGCAGCATCCTCTCCGCAGCCAATCGAAAGACGGCATTTGCTTCCATCCAACCCCGATCACTGTCGACTCCCGCATCAAAGCGCTGACTCTCTCTCTCTGTCTCTCTCTCTCTCTCTCTCTCTCTCGCTCTCTCTCCGGATTGCAAGGGCAGACACTGATGTCTATTTTGGGAATTTGTAGAGGCCATTTTCTGCTTGTTTCTTTGTGTTTTACACGTTTTTTCCATTCCGATTTTTCGTTTTGGTTTTTGCACTCCGTACGCAAAGTGAGTATCTGGGGGAGTGAAAAAAAAAACCCCAAAACGAAATAAGCGTGACCGTGTAGATTTTCTGGTCTCAATGGAGGACATTTTCCAACTCGCATCCCAGCACATCTCGCTCTTTCTGTTTCGAGCATTTGTATTCCCTTGAGCACAACGCGAAATTATTGTTTGAGAGATGAAATGAAGGGGAAACAGTAGCCCGCGGGGAATAGAAATTGGTCCTGTTTTGAGCGGGGGCTTTTCACGGACCGGATCACGACGGCGACTTGCGTGAAAACCGAGGAGAAGGTCTGGGATTTCGGCACGGCGGTCACAAGGCTCCATGGACGCTGCAAGAGGAGTCCATTAGGCATCAGGTAGGAAAGCAGTGCGGTTTCTCTTTCATTCGAATGCAATAGCGTAATAACATAACCAATCATCAGCGATATGAAGGCAGCGATGCAAAATGCACACCGTTTTCTGGTATACATACACGACGCGGGTATTCATTTCTTATCGCAAACGTGGCAATTCAAATTCAACGAGTGCGGAGCTCTTCTTCTACGCGGTGTATGTGTGACACAACGTGACGCTTCTGCATATACTGTATTGTGCTAAAAGTGGAGGCGGGGGCGGGGGTGTCTTGTTTTCAAGGCTTTCATTTTGAAGCTAAGATGGATGCTTGCGTACATTTTCTTCCTCACGCGTCCGCGGCCCAGCTTGATTCTTATATAACACCGCTGAGCTCTGCAGGTTTGCGCTCTGGCGAATTAAGCGACGATAGATAGCACCATTTACCGCATCAACCGTGAATTCAACTCAATGGGCGAGCATCCAATGGAAATTTGTTTTATGGATTGCGTGTGCATGCGGTTTCATCCTAAAAATCCACGCATCTATTTGCTATATGTTTATCCTGGGCAATAGACAGACGGCATCCACCCTGGACTGGTCAGCAGCCAATCAGACAGACAGCATTTTCCTTTCACGTTTGTATGACATTGCCTGGAATGGAAATTTAATTCCACAGTGATCTTTTTTAAAAAAAAAATCCAGCGGTTGATTCACATCTGGCACATGCCCCCACGCCAACTGTCCAGCCTCTTGTGCCCCCCCCCACCCCCACACACACTCCCTGTGAAGGAATGCCATCCAATTAGATAACTATTTGAATAAATTCACTTTGCAAAAGAAAAAGAAAAATTGCCATGACCGATGCTTGAGTGGTTGCATTTTGGCAAATTCCAATCGCTGAATGACCGTTGCACGTTCACATCCAAGATGTCTACGTTAGCCTTATCATGGCCTCCACTGTAATGCAACCATTTGATTTCAATTAAAATCAAATTTGCTTTTATTTTGTATCTTGTGTGGACCTGAGTAAAATTGTTCGATGCAGTGAACTGCGCCTTGGCCCGATTTGGTCAACAATTTGACACAGGAAAGATTGTGAGTGTTGTCCAGCTTCCCCCCAAACCCCCAGGTCAAAATACCCTTGGGGAAAAAGTGTGTTTAACAGCGAGTGGAAGTGTGCAGTGAAATTCCGAGGTGAACACGAATGGGATGTTCAGGAGTACCCCTGGGGAGTTACATGAACAATATATACAAATATACAGTTTGCGTGCAAACATTCAAAGGCTTGAATGACAGCATCCTCTTTGGTGCCAGGATTTTGAACGGAACAACATGGAGGGTATTTCCTTTGACTTGATCGTTTTTCGGAGGGGCTGGAGGCTGCCCGGTTGTCATGGTAACGATGAGACTGTGAATCCCAGTGGAAACGGCTATCTTCCGTCGGGAGCCAATCTGAGCTAAATATTGTGATTTTCACAGCTCAGAGGGGAACATGGCGGATTGCTCTTTTGTGCGTGTTTTGGTGAATGCCTGACGGGACTGCTTTCTGCTCACAGATTGGCCAAGGTGAGACACTTTGGCTCGTTTCCAAACAAAGGGGTTTCTCCTCAGTGCTCCACACCACCGGTGCTCCGTCACTCCACTGCCCCTCGCCAGGCACCATGGGCACCGTGCTCTCGCTCTCCCCCAGCTACCGCAAGGCAGCCCTGTTCGAGGACGGCCCGGCTACGGTGGGTCACTACACGGCAGTCCAGAACAGCAAGAACGCCAAGGATGCCGCGGCAGCCGCTGCCAAATCCCTCAAGCGCCCCTCCATCATCAGCGTGCTGCCATGGAAACGAATCGTGGCCGTCTCAGCGAAGAGGAAGGGTTCCAAGAAGCTGCAATCCGACGGCGGCGACGGCGGGAAAGGATGCTCGCCGGACGTGGATGATGTCATCACCTCTAATTCGGCTTCGAACAGCTTGAAGCTGAAGAAGTCTCAGTCCTGTGCAAATCTTTCCTCTTACTCTTCCGGCCAGGATCCCTCAGCGGCTGCCTTGACTACCTCCTCCCACCTCCCCACCTCCAAGACCCTCATTAACGTAGCTACGGTCGCTGCCAAAAAAAATTCCCTAACTGGCTCCGGGATCCAGCCCTCGACTGCAGTCGGTACGCCAAAGCGTGTCATTGTTCAGGTAAGGCATTTTCTTTACGGCTTATTCTCGGAGGGTGAACTGATCCTGTGAACGGTCTTATAACGTATTATTTCCCAAAATACTGCAGGCAAAAACTGATAGACTTCAGTGATTTCCAACCGTCTTGCGTGCCGAGGAAAATGAGCCAATTTCACTTCATTCGGGAGAAACGCATTTATTAACGATAAAAATCATATACTTAGGTTGACCTATCTATGCAGTGAACATAGATTGACAGGCAAAACAATGAAATGCTCTTCCACGAAAGGGCGGAAAGTACAATAAGCCTTTGAATCGACCTGTTGTCATGCATATGACGGAGTAATAGCTTTGTGGTCCGTTCCCCAGAGATTTCACCCCTGAGAAAGTAATTTGTGAGTACAAGTTCATGATTTTAATTTGCTTTATTTCGTACAGGTTGATGTCTGAACTGAAGCACAAGTAAAAACTTGATGAGGATCATCATGATAACATAACAGAGTCTGACATAATGAGAATAATGTGACGAACGGTGCTCTGTAAATGATATACGGTGACAGGTATCGCCTCTCTCAGCGTGAATAATGTGAATGAAAAATTTGTGAGCGCGTTCCCATTTCTCAAGCGAACGTACGTGATGTATTTTGCTTATCATTTACCCGTTGGGAAATTGTTGTATTCCCTTTCCGCCTGTCCTTACCCGATCCCTCAGGCCTCCACCAGTGAGCTGATGCGCAGCCTGGGCGAATTCCTGTGCCGGCGTTGTTACCGTTTAAAGCGTCTCTCGCCGACCGATCCTGTGCTGTGGCTGCGCAGCGTCGATCGCTCCCTCCTCCTTCAGGGTTGGCAGGATCAGGGCTTCATCACTCCGGCCAACGTGGTCTTCCTCTACATGTTGTGCCGCGACGTGGTCTCGGCCGAGGTGGGCTCCGAGCGCGAGCTGCAGGCCTCGCTGCTCACATGCCTCTACCTGTCCTACTCCTACATGGGCAACGAGATCTCCTACCCGTTGAAGCCCTTCTTGGTCGAGGCCGAGAAGGAGGCCTTCTGGGACCGCTGCCTGGAGATCATCAACCGCATGAGCGGCAAGATGCTCCAGATCAACACCGACCCCCATTTCTTCACCCAGGTGTTTGCTGACCTGAAGAATGAGAGCAAGAAAGAAGAGGAGAAGACCAAACTCTTTATAGGTCTCGACCGATAAAAGGACGTGGAAAGGAGGAGGCAAGAAAAGATGGATGGGGGAACTGCGGCCCTTGATATGATGAGGACAGGTGGAATGCTGCCTAAAGCTACTTTGAAACAACGGTGTTGTCTGGCGTCTCTAATGTTTTATGGCACGGTACACCAGTCGGTTATTAAGAACAAGGAGGCACCAAAAACAAAACAAAAAAAAAAAACCCTCATCTTTCCTTGTGGGTCAAACCAGTGGTCCCCAACCGCTGGTCCATTTTTTCGACAAACCTGCGAGTTTTGAGCAAACTTGCCCCATCGGACGTGACGTGGGGAACGTGCGCGACTCTAGCCGATCGGAGTCCCCCTTCTCACATTACTTTGCAAGTTGAAATCAACATAATACGCCAATAAATGAAAGATGAAGCGGTGAACAGAACGCGAAGTAACAAATTGACGAAACGTACTTCGAAGCATGCAGCCGACGGGCAGGCATGACTTCCGAAGATGAAGCGATTTGGACAAGAGAAGTTCCTCCCCTCGCGGTCTCTCCACAGCGCCGTCGTCAAAACAAGGCCACGCAACATTTGAACAAATCGCAGTGATTAAGTGGAAAGCGTGAAAATGCGAGCAGAGTTTGCACAGCCCGCCCACGTCAACATTCGCAGTTTCGTCGCTCATAACTCGCCGGCAGCCACCGGATGAAAGCAGCAATTAGTCGTGTCACATTTGCAAGTAGCAATGATGCTAACGCCGTGCGTAAAATCGTAACTTCAAAATTATTCTGTTTACATTATCAGGCCTATTTATGATTCCTGACTGGTCCATTGCTTAGTAGTTCACTGTGCCATTTTATTTTATTCTACATTTGTTGTACAGTAGAATAACGCTGTTTGAAACGAATGCAAACAGTCTAGGCCAAGAAAACGTTTCATTGCTCTATAATCATCTTTGTTGTCAGTACCAGTGCTTTAAAACTGGCAATTTCGAAGCAATGAAAAAACAAATGGTTGCCAGCCCACGAAAAGCATGTACTTGTCTTAAGCGGTCCGTGACACAAAGAAGGTTGGGGACCTCTGGGTTAAACCCATTTTGACTATTATTATTATTGGTAATACCTGCTTGGTGTATCTAATTTCCTCTGATGACTTATGTGACAGTTGATACCTAAATGGATCCAAGGTTAAAAAAAAAAACCCAAAACATTTTTATTGTGTATTTTGGGCCAAAATGATTTCGAAATTTGATATGAACAACGATGTCACAGGCTCAGGTCACGCATACGATAAGCCGTTTCCCGTACTATGTTTGAAGGAGATACGAGAAAAATGGCAACTGGTTATCCCGAGGAGTTGAAGAGTGTTTTTCTCTTGAAAGGTTAGAAACGCCAGACAACGTTTATTTATATCAGTAGGGATGAATAATGTAAACATGCAGATCCAGGATAGTGACACTACGTTGCATGAGCTCACGTCATACAGTATGCCATTGCACATGACCACCTGCTTACTGCCAACTCCATTTTACCTTATTCCTATTCTCATGCGTAAGATTAATGCACTCATCAACACTGGCTGTGAGGCCTACTGTTGAAACTTTAAAAGCATACAATCAAAAAAAAACAAAAACAACAAAAACACACACAACATACCCACATTAAATAAAATAGTTGTGGCGTCACTGATAAGGTACAGTTTTTAAAAACAAATTTGGTATTAGGCAACGCTGCTTGGAATTTTATACAGCAAGAGCACACATCATTCAGAAAAATGTCCCTCAATGTTTACCATAAACGAAAAAAAAAACCCACACATGACAGAATGCAATAGGACCCTCCAGTGCATATCCAGAATGGGATTTTATTTGATAACTCCCCATCCACATGCACTTTCCCCCATTTAGGTCCATATTGGTGCTGTCTAGAATGACAAGAGGATAGAAATGGTTGACATTTTTTATAGAAAAGTGTGAAAGTTAAAAGCATTGCAAACCGCAGGCCTGTTTGTGCGTCAGCTAACACTTTTTTTTTTAAGTGTAAAAAGGTGACCTATTTTTCCTAAATGCTGCCACCACTTGAATGGCACTGAGAGCAAAACGACTTCCTACCTGACGTGTATCATTTCGAGCCCACATAGGGAGCATAAGAGAGTGGATATGGATGTAGATTCAATTCAAACATTTTCAAAGAGATGGTTTGTGTGTGTGTGTGTGTGCCAAGTCGGAGCGACGTCAAGACGTCATCGTAAAACCTCCAAACGTCACTGCTCACGTCGATGCTTACCCAAGAGGGCCTGCTCTATTATTAAAAATAATGATCATAATAATAATGCGCTGTTAGCATCTGTCAGGCCACTTAGCATAGCATCGTTTGCACTTGTATGTAGTATATAACAGTCAGGGAGGGACACGGAATCAGCAAAGTCTTCTATCTTTCTTCATCATTGTGGATGATTGCGAGGCCGGCCACGATCGTGTGCTATCTGGGCACATCCGCCATCGCTATTCTGGCGGGACGCAATTGCGCCGGAGATCACCGCTTAACAGCTAGGTGCGATACTCCCCATGTGTCCAGGGAGTCATTCCTCTTCACCTGCAATCGTCATGAAACCCACCCACCCACCTCCCGCCTCCTGATGTATAATTGGTGCCAGAGTCTGGCCCAAGGAGTAATTGGGGCCAGCTTCAGCACCAGTTTCAAGCGCCAGAGCTCGAGCCAATTTGGGTGGTGAAAAATGAAAGAACTGCTGCTAACCTGGGCACTGGCCTGGAACGAACACGAGCACAAGTGTGGTGGAAAAGGGTGTATGAACAAAAATGGAAGCGATTAAGATTGTCTCCCCCTTGCAGGCACAACAGCTTTCACTCCGGCGGTCCTTGTTTTGTGCACGAACAATTACGCTTTGGGCCAAGTAAAAAGGCTCGCCCATAGTCATGCCAATTTCACACACAAAGTGTGATCTCAATAACAAGGTAGCCATCCTCAGACTTGCTAACGATATCTTCATCAGATACTGTATGCCCATCTCTAAAAATCAATATCTACCGTATAATCATTTTGGCCAGAAAGAAACAAATTATTGCCTTCGAGATTCATCCCCATCGCTACTCATCCGGTTTTTGAATTTCGAAACAACATTTTACTGCTACTCCAAAGAGTCAAGAGCCCAACGGAAAGCTTGAAGGATGATGACCAAATTGCAACTCAAAAGCATGGACGTGTGTACGAGACAAATACAAGGCAGGATGGCGTGGCCATTTCCATCAAGGCTTTCTCCATTATTGTAAGCGATGACGTTTTCGCTCTTCTTTTGTGTTCTGGTGATAACGGATTGACCGCGGTGTCAAGACAATGTAGCCCGGAGCCACAATCGAACCTCATGTGACATATTATGCATATCATGAAGAATGATGATCACACTTGCTTACATGACCTTCCTCACCTGTTTCGGATCGCTTGAATGGAAAAAAAAAGTAGCATTTCTCGATGTGCCGGCAGTTGAGGTGACATTATGCTTCATGATACAAAGTGCAGGAGGTCTGAATGATACAATGACAGGCTTGCTGATATAATCGATTATGGAAATGAGTTTTTTTTTTAATATTATGCAACTATTTGAAATGTCATAAAATCAGAGCTCCACCCTGTTAACATTTTTTTCACACCTCAACTTGAAATGACCTAATTTCTCTTGATGCTTGATATCTTGGCTGTGGGGCTGTCTGTGGTCCCCTGGCTGGAAAAAACAAAGCAAGTGTTGAATTATGTCCAAGCACATGCAACGGGATCGCACACGAATGAAAAGGGAAATCAGCAAAGCAGACATTCAACTATGGGGGAAGAAAATGAAGCAAGGCGCTCAAAGCGGTCTGATTGTTTGCAGGTGTAAAAAGGCTGGTTGTTCTCATCGAATGATGGATTCACTCCCTCACCCCCCCCCAAAAGCCGATGACTGTCACAGCAAGATAAGGCCGCCAAATATTTGTCTTGAATCTGTTATGGGTCAACAAATAGCTTCATGCAAGCTGACAGTGCAGGATCACGTAAGACCCGGTTTATGCTTCTGAATCGATACGAGAGCAAATGATGCACGACCTCGAGTCGGAAATGTTCGCCGGCACATTTAGTGCCGCGCATATATGGATACGATTCATTCTTTATGTTTTTTTCTTCAAACCGATTCCTCCCGCTTTGGTCCAAACGGCAATGAAATGATGAAATACACAAAGAAAGGCCACTGAGAGGACCGGCCCTCGGGACCGAAGACTCGGGTTGACACCCTTCCCACTCCTCTCAATCATCTTTCATCAAATATGTGCCATATTTTATCTTGGAACACTTACAAGACAAAAACTATTGTGTGATGATGATGATAGACTTCCAATGTTTGTTTGTTTTTTTTGTTTCTCTCTCCTTCCATTTGTGAACAATATCGTGTAAACAAGAATCTTTGTTCAAGTTTAATGCTACTAGTCCTACTAGAATACGGACGCTGCAGTCTGTTACTATTGTGGATGTATGAATATGTATGCAAGAAAGAACAAAGGGATCAGCTGTTACAGGTACTTTGTATAAAAACATTTACAAGCATTTTTTCTGTCTTCCTCGCTTCCTCCTTTTCCATTTCTGCCTTAGTCTTCCTCGCTTTTGAGCTCCCTGGTAGCCCCATTGCTGCCAGTATAGTACCATACATTTGACGACTTTTTTTTTTTTAATATGCCAAAATGTAATGCTGAAGTCGATGTCTATAATTTTCCACCGAATTTGTGATGACCCTTAATCTATTCGTAACGAGACACATTTAATTTCGAAACAAAACCGTGAGAGAAGGGTGGACGAGTGTTGCTGTCCGCGGTGCTGACGCCAGCACCGCGACCGACGTCAATAACATGCGACAACCTTCAGAGACACGTCATAGCAAGTGAAAATGAACGTCAAAATTGCTGGCGTGAGCGGGAGTTCTATACATTTCTCAACGTAGTCTGATAGAATCGGACCCCCTTTGTACAACATCTTGGATTCGGATGTCTTTCTTTCTTTCTTTCTTTCCATATTGAACTTCAAAAGGTGCGTTTGACGTGCACACGTGAGCCTGCTGGCACGTCATCCAAAGCCGCTCAGGGAGGCCGGACCAGAGCACGTGAGCTAATGGGGGGCACATCCCCCGGTGTGCGAGCTTCCGCTTGATTCGGCCAATCGAAGAAGAGTGAGCTACGCTTAACAACGCCATCTGCTGTCAAGCCTCCCTGCTTCATGTCACCCCCCCTCCGCCGCCCACTCCCCCCCACCGTCCTATGAACCATCTGGGACCACCACTACTGCATCACTGCTCCACCACAAACCGTGAAGATGGCGTCCCGGGTAAGAAAATCCCACGTTATCACGTTCTCTATGGCGTTTTTAGACGAACGCGCGCTTCCTTCCTGGTTTCCAGATAAACCGGGCAGCAAAATGTCGGACCGACTGCTCGCTCCGACTATTTGGGATGCGGCCAAGCCAATGTCATTGCGAGCGGTGTTCGTCTTTATTTGTTGAAATGGACTCGATGCCGCAGCCTCACGCGCGCGCTTGCGATGTGCGAGACGCGATTCACCAGGCGTTTCGAGTCAGTAAAAAAAAAAAAAAAAGCAGGAGCGCGGCTGCTTAATCCCGGGAGCTGCTTGCCCTTGAACCGAGGCTGCTGCGTAAAAAGCGCTCGCTGATAAGAAGCTTGCCTTCCGCTGGCGGCGCATCGAACGGAACGACGTGCAGCATTTGAGGGCGCACCTCGACAGGGACGTGTGCGGCCTCTGTGGTGCTGATGCTGACAGTATTGTTTGGACGAGCGCCTTCGTTCCGCAGTGGTTTTGATGAGCACAGGAAAGGCGCTCGAGGGGTGGCTCGGCGTCGCTGTGCGTAGACTTGAGTCCATGTTTATCTTGTGTGCCGTCGGGTAACATGATCTAACTGAACGCAAGCTGTGTGTCTTCAGAAGGGCACCATCGTGGTTGTTGTTTTATGGACAAACTGCATAGTTGCTTCTCGGAGCAGTTTAGCAAAAAGCAGGTCAAGCTCACATTGTCACGAATATCTTGAGGGGGCGAATTGTTCCGCCGCTTGAACTATTTGGGGTTAGGCATACTCCCTTCAACAAAACAGCTCAGCGGGGCCCTGGTTTCAATGTTTGGCTCTGAGCCCACCTGTGTGGAATTTGTCTGTTCTTACCACACATGTGAGGAGAAGTGAAGACTCCATCATTGTCCCAATCCGTAAATGGAAATGTGGACGGTTGTTGGTCTTGACGTGTGCCCTGCGATGGACTGCCGACCATCCCGGGATGTGCCCCACCTTTCGCCCAAAGTCAGCTCATGGTATGGACCCCTGACCCGAGTGAGGAGAAGTGGCACAGAAAATGGCTGAACGATGGCCTGGTGCTTGAAATAAGGATCTGCCGGCAGCAAACCCGATTTGTTGTCCGAGGCACTGTCGGATTGCTTCATGCGGTTGCCGCGGTGACCGTGGCATGTGCTTCGACCGCAGTACACTGCGTTGGAATTTCTCCATCAGCTGGCGCTTACTACCGACCGAGTCAAAGTATTTTCATTTGATTTAACAAGACGAAAATGGATGGAAAGCGACTGCATTCAAATCACCACAATCACGCTAAATTGTCTTCTTCTGCCCCTCCTCCTTCGCCTCTCTCTTTGCAGACCATGCAAGCGGCACGATGCCCGACAGACGAGTTGTCGCTGACAAACTGCGCCGTGGTCAGCGAGAAGGATCTGCAGTCCGGCCAGTGAGTCGCCATCACTCTCAGCGCACCCGTCTTTCTCTTTCCGTGCCAATAAAGACGCGAACGCTGCTCACGTTTTGGTCTTTGCGAGCTGATTACCGCCAGATGTCATTCTTCTGATGAGTCATTTTTGATACGTGCAATCGTGTTTCCTTGACCACTGGGAGGATAAGCGGTTGGGGGAAATGGATGAGTGCATCTGTCAGCGGAGCGATTGAAGGTTTTATGACACTGGATATCATGCATTCAAATGACATCATTTCCCATGGAAATATTGATTCGACATTTGAACAAATCGGATGGAGACAGGCGGCCCAGAATAGATGGTGATGAGATGTTGCACCGTTTTCTGAATGATGGAATTCGATCATGTCTGTCGATGCCATAATACAACACAACACAACGCAACTCCACTCAAATGTATTTCTCAAGCGCTTGAAAGCAACCACCGCTATATGCAAAGGGCCCCACATGGAGCAAAAATCATTCATCCAACAACAAACAATAAAACAGTCAATTAATCAACTAAAAATCAAGTCTCGTGCTGAGACCAAAGCCAAAGAACAAAAATGAGCCTCCGCTTGGTTCTCGCTTCCTCTACTAGTGCCTGGTCCCATGCAGACCTTTGGCACCGGGCGCGGTGGGGCCGGGCCGTTTCAAGATTTGAAAACAAATCATGGTGATCTTCTAAAAAGGGACCCGGTGAAGGGATGCCAGTGTAGGAGCGATTTGCTTTCTCTTTCGAGTAACAGTCAGGAAGCGAGTGGCAGCATTTTGGAGCGACTGGAAACGCTTCATGGAGGATTATTAGCGGCGGAGAATTCTTCATTTCAACCTTTATATATAAAAAATGAAATTAAGATTCAGAAATGGGGTGATAATGTTGATCCATGATGTATTTGTCTTGAATTTGTGAAAACGCAGAATTCTTCATTTCAACCTTTATATAAAAAAAAAAAACAAAAACCAAAAAAAAAAAAAAAACAGCACATAGTTTCAAGTTGCCCTTGCAGAAAATGCATAAGCAAATGAATTAAGATCCATGATGTATTTGTCTTGAATTTGTGAAAACGGTCACTGTCTTTCTCCAGACACGTGACTGTGAAGACCACACCCAACCACAAATTTGTGTTCACGGTCAAGACCCACCACACCGTGGCGCCTGGTTCCATTGCCTTCAGCCTGCCACAGGTACTCCCACAAACATCCACAGAAAATGTGACGCAGCAAATTCTTGTGAGGATGTGATCCTTGAGAGGACATAACGCTGTTGTGTTGGCCTTGTTCTTGTCCAATACGAGTCTCAAAATAGCAGAGGGATTTACTAATGTCACTCGGCCATTTGTTTTTTTTTTTGCATGAAATGGCATTTCCTAAATTCGGCAAATCCATTTTGATTACTCTGAGAAAAATGACCTTGACCAGAGCTGCAAATTTGCTGCAAGCAACGCGTTTCTCAGTAGAAGATTGAATGAGCTTAGTGTGAACATGTGTGGGGGGGAAAAAAAAATCCAGTCAGTACGCGATGTGTGTGAACAAGTAATACCCCACACACTTCCTTGTTGACTTGTGTTTTGCCATCATTTTGAAGCGGTTCGTGGAGGCAAAGTCATGATGAAGAGTACTCTGATGTCTTTATTCTTGTCTGTTTCCTGAACAACACATTGTTGACTTGTGTTTTGCCATCATTTTGAAGGCAAAGTCATGATGAAGAGTACTCTGATGTCTTTATTCTTGTCTGTTTCCTGAACAACACAAACTGTCCTGCTTTGCTCTTTCCTTGGTCTGTTTTTCAGCGAAAATGGGCCGGTCTCTCCATTGGCCAAGAAGTAGAAGGTATTGCACTCTGAACGTCGAAATTGTTTGGCGCAAAAGCTGTCCAACTTTTGCACACCGAATGGATGATTGCTGACTGGACTTGACCGTCTCCCAAATCACGCAGTCACACATCATCAAAACTGTCATGTCGTTGTTGAGATTTGCTGTGAGGTTAAAAGAGGTTTTCTATCCCTAGTCAGCAAACCAAGGTAATAAATAAATAAATTGGGGCCCGGGGGGGGGGGGAATTTTGAGAAGAGGACAAAACTTTTTCATTGTTGCTGAGAGTTGCTGCGAGGTTAAAAGAGGTTTTCTATCCCTAGTAAGCAAACCAAGGTAATAAATAAATAAATTGGCGGCCGGGGGGAATTTTGAGAAGAGGACAAAACTTTTTCATGGCACTGTCTTGCCACAGTTGAATAATTGAATAAGGGTGATGATTCCAATACTTGTGTAGTAGTACAGAAATCAATATTTGACTTCTGAAATGGATGAAATGGAACATACTCATAAAGAAAAAAAAAAAAAGTTTGCGATGGAATGTTTCGGTATTGGTAATAAATTTCTGTCCTCAAGTGTCCAACTACAACTTCGACAAGTCCAAGCAGTGCATCGGTGCCATGACCATCGAGATTGACTTCCTGCAGAAGAAGAGCACCGACTCCTCACCGTATGACTCGGATAAGATGGCCGCCGAGTTCATCCAGAAGTTCAACAGCCAGGGCTTTTCTGTCACGCAGCAGGTGTAGTTGTTGTCCTTCGTATTCAGGCGCCAGAGTCCGGGACGCTTTGATTCTTATATGTGGTGCGCTTTCGTTTTCGTGTCGCAAACAATTCCTGTGCCGTTCTCCTCTCAGCTGGTCTTCAGTTTCTGCGACAAACTCTTTGGACTGGTTGTCAAAGACATTGAGGCGATGGATGCCAGCATCCTCAAAGGCGAAGCGGCCTCTGGAAAGAAACCGCAGAAGGTACGCGCACGCTGTGCTAGAATTTCATGGATCAACTCAACTCAAGCAGACTGTTTTTGACGGTGGTTGCTCTGTTGTTGCATCTAATGCTGTACTACGCCTTCTCGGCGTTATCGAAAAGGATGCCTTGTCCGCGGTGATCTCTTTGAGATTTTAATAGAGGTTTGAAATGAAAAACAAAGGAAATGACATGAAATTCATCCAGATTGTTGAAGTTTTCCTCCGTTTCCTTTGACAGATTGATGTTGGGCTACTGGTGGGAAACAGTCAGGTGATTTTTGAGAAGGCGGAGAGTTCATCCTTGACACTTGTTGGTATGTTTCGTATTTAAAAAAAAAAACAAAACAAAACAAAACAAAACAGTTGAAACAATATATAGCCATGAATGCAAGTGACTTCGTCATTGTCAAGGAATGAATGCGCTGAGAGACTTCAGGAGTCCCTAGCGAGGTACCTTTTGTCTCCGCAAGATGGCAGCAATGCGTGGCGTGTAGATGTGTCGAACTGCATTGAGTTAAAGACATTTGAAGTTAGCAAATTTGTCCAAAATAATAATCCTTTGTCCGACAATCTGAGTAACATTGGTGGAAGTTTAAATGCCATGTGTGCCTTTGTGATTATATTTATTTATTTTGTTACAAGAATACTGCATTTTTTTTTTTTTTTTTTTTGTAGGTAAGGCAAAGACCAAGGAGGCACGTCAGACAATCATCAACCCGGACTGGAACTTTGAGAAAATGGGCATCGGAGGTCTGGATAAGGAATTCTCTGACATTTTCCGGAGAGCTTTTGCTTCTCGGGTCTTCCCTCCGGACATTGTTGAGCAGATGGGTAAGGAATTGCCTTCGTTTGGTTGTCGGCCGTCCCGGTGTGGTAACATCCTTCATGAGGCAGACTCATGTTTGTGTCTCTTTGCCTTCCGGACGTTTCTCATCACTATTCCTTTGGTGTTCTGCGTCCAGGCTGTAAGCACGTGAAGGGCATCTTACTGTTTGGACCGCCGGGCTGTGGAAAAACCCTCATGGCCAGGCAGATTGGCAAAATGCTGAACGCCCGCGAGCCAAAGATCGTCAACGGCCCGGAAATCCTCAACAAATATGTGGGCGAGTCTGAGGCCAACATCCGCAAGTTGTTCGCTGATGCGGAGGACGAGCAAAAGCGGGTGTGCGGCCGGCCGGCTGTTCTCCTTTACATTTTCAGAAACGTGAAGTTGTGCTTTAACGTGTCTGGCCCTTTTCATCGCCGCCATCACTAGCTGGGAGCCAACAGCGGCCTTCATATCATCATTTTTGATGAGCTGGATGCCATTTGCAAGCAGAGAGGCACGGGTGCGAGCAGCACGGGCGTGCACGACACTGTGGTCAACCAGCTCCTCTCCAAGATTGACGGCGTGGAGCAACTGAACAACATCCTGGTCATTGGTAAATAACATTTGTCTCATTTCGGTTTCTATTATGTTTCCATCTCTGCTTCCTTTCCTCCTCTCCGTACGGCATCACTTTTTCTCTTTTTCACCAGGGATGACCAACAGGCCCGACCTGATCGACGATGCCCTCATGAGGCCCGGCAGGTTTGAGGTCAAGATGGAAATCGGTAAGTGTCCGACCTATGATTTCCTCTCGGCCTCGCGGTCCCGTTCGCCTGTCCCGTCGTTTCCAAAATATTCGAAAGCGCAGTTTTTCGGGTGCGTGACATTCAATTGTACGTTTTGAGCAAGTAATAAACAATTCGACCTTCACCCGGGGCTAAGATGAAGTCAAACAAATCTCTTCAATCAAAGCATTCGCCAGAGGCCAGACCAGACATCGTCAATCTGTCATGATTTCATGCCAGCCAAATCTGTCCATCACTCCGTTATCGTTATTTTAACCACGCTTCTGTCTTTGCTAAATTACAATTTGTCAGGGCTATTTTAAGGCCGTCAGATCTTCTTCTTCGGTGGCGTAGAGAACGTACTACTTAGCGTGTCACACGCATTCGCAGCGCACAAGCAGCGTATCTACTTCGGTAAAGTACCACGCCACATACTGATGCCCGCAATTGTTTGATTGCACATCTGTCGTGGGATACTGTGAAAACGAAAAAAAAAACCCGATATTTACAGTCTTTGCGGCACACATTCAATAAAGAAACAAAATATCACATTCCATGTGCGCCATGTAAAGCAGTAGGATATAAATTGAAGGTAATAAAAGTCCATCGCGCCATATATTTTGCTCTCGTCTCTCTCTCCGGTGGTCTTACCCGGTTAGTGATGATTATGGTGATGGACGAAAACCACTTCGGTCTCACCTTGTTGCTGTCATATCCGACCAGGTCTTCCTGATGAGAAAGGTCGCGTTCAGATTCTCACCATTCACACGAACAAGATGCGAAGCTTCAAGCTGCTAGCGCAAGATGTCAACATACCAGAGCTGGCAGCTGAAACCAAAAATTACAGCGGGGCGGAGCTGGAGGGGCTGGTCAGGGCTGCCCAGTCCACCGCCATGAACCGACACATCAAGGTCAGTTTGGCAATAATGACGCTTGGAAGAAATCTGGGCGCATTGATTTTCATGACGTCTCATGTCTATTTAAGGGCGCTTGTTGAAATATGATCTCATTTCATTTCATTTCAATATGCTATATAAACGGGTTGTTCATGATTCAGTGAAATGTGTTCCATAAAATAGATTGTTCGTCCGAAATCCAGGATAATTCTGTAAAATGACGAATTAGCTCCTCCAATGCTGTTATTTGAACACCATACAATGCTCGAATAACGGCGTTTGAGGAGCAATTTAGTCATGTCGAGGACCGTTTGAAGGTAGACGTGAAGGGCCGCCGCTGTCCACTATTTCAGCATTTTAATACCTTGAACATTTCATATATATCTGCATCTATAAAGTGGACATAAAATGAATGGATGGATGATAAATCTTCCAAAAAATGGGAATTTTTCAAGATAATTTTACCGCTTGTTTGGCAACATTATGATGCTCACAATGTGCATTCAAAGCCCAGCATCTTCGTCTTCTCTTTTTCAGACAGTCCTTCTCAAACATTTTTTTTTCGGCACTTCCCGAGTTTTGAGTAGGTGCAAAAATAAGAAGAATTGCTGAATGGATGTCATTTTGATTGCACATTTTAAGAGGCGGTTTCTGCAGTACAGTCTGCAGAATGATTTATTATTTTCATCTTACTTCTGCCATGAGATTGCACGAGCGGGGCAGGAAAAGGCTTTGCCTCTCTAAAAACAAAAACGCTCCCCTTTGAGTACAAAGTGATTATGATGGGAGTCGTTTGTGGTGGAATAGCAGTGAAAATTCATATTGCCGTGAGATGTGTTTCGAATAAGTTAGCGTCTCTATATACTGTAGGTCATTGCGCTCATGGCATTTGGATTGTTTTTTTTTTTTTTTTCCAGGCTACATCTACCGTCGAGGTTGACATGGAGAGGGCAGAGAAGCTGCAGGTCACCAGAGATGACTTCATGGGATCCCTCAACAATGACATTAAACCAGTGAGCCTCATCTCCTTTTCAATTGATGACCTGGGATGCGGATTACAATTTAATTCCTCTTGGGTTTTTTTTTTCCCCCCCAGGCATTTGGTACAAACCAGGAGGATTACTCCAGCTACATCATGAATGGCATCATCAAATGGGGCGACCCGGTTACCCATGTCCTGGATGATGGAGAGCTGCTCGTACAGCAGACCAAGAACAGCGATCGCACACCGCTGGTCGCTGTGCTGCTCGAGGGTCAGCATTTGCCGATGGTACCAATACTGTCAAAATGAGCCCTGACCGGCTGACCGGGCGGCACTCGGCTCCTTGCAAAAATACAAAAAAACCGTCATTTCTCACTCTCACACATATTCTATGATGCCGACGTTGGCAGCATTTGCCCAGTGGCACCGTATTACATAAAAGAAGCATGTAAGATGGTTATCGCTGGCGACAACAAACATCATTTGACTTGTCCAATGTCTCACTTGTCAAACGTACCCCCAGGTCCGCCCCACAGTGGAAAAACAGCTTTGGCAGCCAAGATTGCGGAGGACTCACAGTTCCCCTTCATTAAGATTTGTTCTCCAGACAAGATGATTGGACACTCAGAGATTTCCAAGTGCCAGGCCATCAAAAAGGTTAGTGACGCACCGTTTAACCTTTTGTGAGCGAACACGTCCACTGTTTTGGAGCTTGAGAGAAAGGACCCAAACACAAAAGAGTCGTTCTGAAGCAGTAAACAAAAACCTTCATGGGCTCAAATGAATGCCACTGAGAAATCCACCTCATAACACTGCACTGCTCCCCCCCAAAAATTGCGTCAACTAGCCAGCAGCATTTTCTAGGGCAGTTTCGCATGTAGAATCCAAACACCTCATTAGTTTTTCTCTATATGCTCCCATTTCTTGTCATTTGACTTGTTTTTGTGTTGTTTTTTTTTGAAAGTGCGAGGCCATTTTTTTTACATTAAATCTTTGTTCATTTGTTAGGCATACAGTCATGAAGATAGCGGATCGCTTTATGACATGATGGAAGAGTGCTCGTGGACATTTACTCGCAGTCGCGGGCGTGGCGGAATATTTAGTGCACAGGGCGTGGATTTTTTTCATCATATTGTGACTGCTATGTATGGGTAAAAAAAAAAAAAAACATCCATCCATTATCCGAGCCGCTTAAATAACTCAACACTTCAGTCTCCGCACACTTGTCCTGCTTGCCGCTGATGAAAGGCAAAGATGAAAACTAGTTTGCTAGCCCTGGCGCAAACTGTGCCCTAAAGCCGACAAACTGCTTCGGGTCAGAAAATCAGGACTGCGACTTCAGCTGATATTTCCCATCCTGTTTTCCCTGAATTTTAGGTCTTTGATGATGCTTACAAATCCCAGCTGAGCTGTGTGGTGGTTGATGACATCGAACGTCTGCTCGACTATGTCCCAATCGGACCGCGTTTCTCCAATCTGGTTCTTCAAGCCTTGTTGGTGCTCCTGAAGAAGGCACCACCCAAGGTCAGAGTTCACTAATTGGTAGACCGCTATCACGACTGTTGTCGAAATTTTATGTTCAAGAGAGCGGTACAAACAAAGTAGCGTGTCAAAAGAGTTACTGTCACCGATTTCTCCTTCAGGGTCGGAAACTGCTGATAATTGGCACCACCAGCAGGAAGGACGTCCTCCAGGAGATGGAGATGCTGGACGCCTTCAGCACCACCATCCACGTCCCTAACATCTCGACCGGGGAGCAGCTTGTTGACGCTTTAGAGGTACAAAGTCACACGGACACTTGAGTAAATGATGCGCGCTCTCGCCGAGAGCTACGCAGTCGCGCGGGCGCGTGCCATTGAAAAATGCACAAATAAAATAACCTTGGTTCCCTCTGAGCCACTGAACGAAATGCCACTTTGTTTCCCGTGCTGTCGCATTCAAAGCATTGACTTTTGAAGATTCTCGGGAGGCGTCGCTCACATTCCGCGCTTCCTTTTTTCTGCAGCTGCTGGGCAGCTTCACAGACAAAGAGAGGGCCAGCATCGCACAGCAGCTGAAAGGAAAGCGAGTTTGGATCGGCATTAAGAAACTCCTCGTGCTTATCGAGATGTCGCTGCAGGTACACGCGCACCTGAAATGGCGGCACCATCCTGTGCAGTGAACTCGTTAGTCTTTCATCTTTGTATGGAACTGCTGTATAGTTCACGCTACACCGGCAAAGTCTGCAAAATATCAATTTTCTTCAATTTATATATATATATATATATATATGTGTGTGTGTGTGGACAGTATTATAAATAGTATTCAAAAAAAAAAAATCAAAATCAAGACAATTTCATGACAACACTCAAGTCAAAGCAACCAAACACGAATGACACATTTTGATGTTTGGACTCTTTTTTTGTTGACTGTACGTCACCCACGTCTGACTTTGTTGTCTCTAGATGGACCAAGATTACCGAGTGACAAAGTTCCTGTCGCTGCTGCGAGATGAGGGGGCGTGAGTATGCTTGCGGAAAAAAAAAAAATCACCCCCGTAGAGCATCAGCAACATCCCTCAATTCAAACTTTCTTTGTTTTGGGTTCATCTGCTTCACTTTTTGCCGTTGCTGTCTCCATCTTGTGCGAACCCGTGTGCCTGTGTGTGTGTGTGTGTGTGTGTGTGTGTGTGTGTGTGTGTGTGTGTGTGTGTGTGTGTGTGTGTGTGTGTGTGTGTGTGTGTGTGAGTGACTCCCAATTGCAGTGCCTTTCCTCACCAATCATTTTATTTTGCATCAGGTTGAATGAAGGCAATCAAATCCGCATTTAAGCCGCCACTCAGTGGTTCCCACTGTGCACTGGTAAGCTCAACAACAAATGTGCCCTGAGAATCCTTCGAATGGAAAAATGCAATTCAGCCCTTTTAGAATAGTCGCCCGACGACAGACAGCACGCTGTCTTATCTGGTGTTGATTGCAGTCTTGAGATTGCTTGCGTATGTCCTTTAACGTCTCACCTTCTTCAGCGCCCAAAGCAAGGCCATGTAATTAAACCACCAACGTAGGCCTAATGCACGGCCGTCCAAACTACGGGCCGAGGGGCCATTAGGGGCCTGCCATCCATTTCCAATTTCCATACACGCTGAGGCAAATTGGTCAATTTAATTATAGCCAAATGCTCTTTTCAACAAGTCATGTGGTCTTGCTTTAAATGCCTTTTGCCTCCATGTTTTGGGTGTTTTTTTTTTTTTTTGTATACATCTGTCATTCATAAAAACCATGCTTGGATTGTTTTTTCCACTCTACTATGCTCTTTATTGTTTTTATTTTTTCATTTAATTTTCACAATGGAAATATTTGAATTTGGGGTGGGTGGGGTAAATGCATCCTGTTACAGGCAGTGGCTCTATGAGCAGCAGCCAATCACAGGGCTTAAAAAGACTGTTCAGACACACGGGAAACCCACATAAGAACACTGAGATGCCAAACTACACCGGCATTTCTCCCATTTGAAAATTTGAGGGAGGGGCGGGGGGCGTTCCTTCACAATGTAAGTCACTTAAATGCAGTTTTGGGCTTGTCCTTGCCAAGAAAGAAAGTTGAACCGTATTGTAAACGGCATCATTATCTCTATCCAGAATTGCCCATGTCTACTTTGTGTGTTTTACAGCGATCGCAGCTTTTATGAGTAGGCTGGCTTCGGAAATGCAACGACTATTTCATCATCAACAAGCCGCAAACAGGATGAGGAAGAGGAGAAGAGCCCATCATGTTTGTCCACCAAGTCATTCCTCCGTCCATCTTTCTAAATACACAATCTGGTTAAAGACACCCCCCGCCCCCCTTTTCCCCGCATGATCCCATAGGCAATATCTCGATCACTGCCCACGTGTCACCCCCGTCACCAAAGTATATTTGTTGTCTTTACTGCAGTCTACAGGAAGTCGTACTGTCATTGAATTGTTATCTGGAAAGATACTGCAAGAGACGATTGTTTAAAAAACAAAAAAAGTGGTTTTGTGCATCGTGCTAAAGAAAAAAAGCAACATGTGTTTTTAGCTTCTTGTGTAGTAGGTGTGGTATTTGTTATTGTCTTGCTAAGTTATAGTCCTGGGGTGTCCAAACCTTTTTGTTGGAGGGCCGCGTGCAGAAAAGTGGAAGGATGAAAGGAAAGTCAGTCAAGAAAGCAATCCTACATTGTTTGTATTGTTCATCAGTTTTCTGTTCAAGGTGTTCAGGCAAATTCTCCCAAGTTATACATATATGCATGTACAGGGAGAGAGCTGGCCACCGAGGAATGGATGGCAGGTCGCAAACGGCCTCCATAGTTTGGACACCTCTGTTCTAGTCAGTCTGATACTGTACATACAAAGTAAGAAGGCAGGACACAGAGAATGCAACTAAAACGGACATAAATAGCGCGCAGATTATTTTTGCTTCGTGGACTGTCGGAGGATTGCAGTGACCATGTCGTGGCTAAGCAAAACGTACTTTGTTCCCTGTGTAAATGTTAAGCCTTTAATTCTCTGTAACGTGTCCATGGCTTCAGGTCAATGTAAGGCCAACTTAAGCCCAAAGTACATAGTGTATATATAAACACAGGCAGTATATTGAGAATCGTTGAAATGATCCAAGTTCTTTCCAAATTACGTATAGAGACAGACTATATAACAGTGCGATTTGTGATCCTTTGGTGTTCCGGATATCGTGACATCATCGGGCTAGTTATAGTGGAAGTGAATGTTGGATTGTGGAGTGTCTGTTGTGTGCAGTTCAGTTCAGTTCAGTACAGTTTAGTAAAAATAGTGTAGCTTTGGCATCGTCAGTGTTCAATGCAAAAGAAAAACGCAGCTTTTAAGATGGATGTGAAATCACAACTGAAAAAAAAAAAAAAACAACAAAAGCAAAATATTCAAAGTAAATGGTTCCTCATGGAAGCATGAGTTTGTGTCTCCTTGCCTGCATGTGTTAGAAGCTAACGCTGTGTGTGTATGCATATGAAAGTGCATACACGGTGGCTAAAGTTTACCTGGAACAAAACTGACTATGCTCTCAATATTTTGTTATACAAACTGTTGAGGCAATCACTCTGTGACGCAAGGCAGATTTCACTTCAGAGCATTAAAGAGTCGGGGGGTGCAGGGGAGGGGGGGGGGTTCTCAACTGTATTTCTCGGGCACTTTCAAACAACCACTGCTATGTACAAAGTGCTGTACGTTGGGCCAAAATCATTCAATTCATACAGCAACAAACAATAACGGCGACGGTAGAAAGCACAAAAACAGTCCAACTAAAAAGTCTCAGCCACTGGGACCAAATCCCATCACTTGTGTCTTCTTTTTATGGAAATTCAAGACATTCGGTGCCATCCAGGTCTTGATCTCCTCCAGACAGGATCAAAAAAGTGTACAAACAAACAAACAAACAAGCAAACAGAAACAATCCTGTGTCACCTGTACTATGTTTGAGAAAAACAACTTTATACGTACTTTGAAAAAAAAAAAAAGGTTGTTTTTTTTTTCCTGGGCTGCTCCACTACTACGTCCATCAAAGCATGCCTTGAATTTGGGCAGGCTACCAAGGAATCTCAAAACTAGCAAAGCATCCTGGAACTGAATGTGCTGCTGAGCTGCTCACAAAAGTTGGCTCTGGTGATTGCCTCATATGGTTGCCAAACACAATATTAACCATGCCCTCATTTTTGTCCAGGCTAATTTTATTCACTTGTTTATTGACTTGAATAATTCTACTGGGTGAATATCATTTGTTATTATTCACATTTTTATTGAGTATTCCTTTTGTCAGTTACTGCGATGACCATTGTTTGATGTGTGATGAAGAATTTACTCCTTAAATCAGGTAGTGCTTACTTTACTGTCTTTTCCACCTCTTGAATTGTGTTTACTGCTTCATGTCCAAAGTCTGTTTTCTTCTCATCATTGACAACATTGGTGTGTATGTGTGCGAGTGTGTGTGTGTGTGTGTGTGTGTGTGTGTGTGTGTGTGTGTGTGTGTGTGTGTGTGTGTGTGTGAGTGTGAGAGAGAGATGTATTATTGCAATAAAAAGCACAGATGCACAAAAAAAAATCATCCTGCTGTCTATTGTTTGTTGGTGAAGTCTCACAAGACAGAGTATCTAAAAAAGGGTGGGTTTTGCCGTTGTGGGTGTGAACACAGCTAATTCCCTACACTGCCAAATCCAAGGGGCTCCTTTCATGCCTTCAAATAGACACCTTGCACCTGTCTCTGATTGGTTGCTTTTCATCACGAGTTGTTTCAAGGTCAAAGATGGGGTAATTTTTTTTAAACTAATCGACATACTTCTGTCAGCCTTACACTGATAGTTTGAAATTGCAAACTCACTCTTTATTAAATACAGTAACCTTTGTTGATTCCTACCACTGTACACACTAAGTACATCTTTTCTTTTTTTTTTTTTAATTCGACTCATCTCTTCGTTCAAAAAAAAAAAAAAAAAGCTTTGCAATCGCGGTTGCTGAGGGAAAACGGAAGCGTCATCTCGCTTGGCCGTTTCTGCAAGCGAATCTCGGCCGCGCGCCAGCTCCTCGCTCCGACCGCTAGAGAGCAGCACTGAGCCTCGTGACGACTCATCCACAGCCGAAGCAACCGTGCTCCCTCTCCTGACCCGCATTCGGCCGCGGCGACCGCCAGAGCTCGGGGGAGGACGCGGCGCGCACACGCGAATCGTGGCCGTGGCTTTGACAGTTGCGGCCACACACGCGCCAGTCAGCGGAGGGAAGTGGGCCAACTGGGAGAGGCTCGGCGCTTTTTCGGGAAGGTAAATGCACCTCCGCTCGCTTTCACCACCGATTATGCCACCCCCCCCTCCCGCCTCCCCGTGTTTTCCGCCGGCTTTACCCCGTTGGCTTCGCTGAATTGTTGTTGACGGCTCTTGAGGCGGTTACGCGGCTTTAGAGTGCAGCTTGGTGAGTGTTGGTCTTATGTTGTGGGGGCGGAAGAGGGGCGTGAGGGGGGGGGGTGCATTCAGTGACGGCTGCGGTGTGTACTGTACGTGAAGCCGCGGTGCAAGGTGAGCGCTGTCCTCACGTCAACCCGGTCGGCCTGCCCGTCCCCTGCACGGTAACGTGACCTAAACGCGAATGTAAGGAATACTTTGAGCCGCCTCGTTTGCGGAAACGCCTCGAGCGAGACCAGCGCGCTTCCAAAGAAACGCTGGGCTCTTCGCAAGAGAGATATGAAATAGTGTTTTGCCTTCAAAAAAATGGCTGAACTGAACGCGTTGCTCTTTTTGGAAGATCTCACGAGTACATCGGCGAGATGTCACGGCAGTCCGGCGGCTGCAACGACGACAAGTCTGCGTTCATTAATCGGTGGCGGATTTGTTGTCAGCGTCAGAAAACTAGCTCGTGTTGTTGTTGTTGTTTTTTTTAAGGTGCTGTCGCGTTGGGCCACCTCAGAAGTATTTTGCCGTTTGGGTGTCAGTGTGGTGCATCGAATGCATTCAGAGTCTTCCTCTCACGGGATAGTCCGATGCAAGTGTTGGATGGGACCGGCACTTGATAGACTGTAATTTCATGCCGTCCACTTGGTCATGCCAAACCACCGGGCAAGTACACGCTGTACTCGACGCAACTGACAACGTTATGGCCACTTGGCCCTTGCACCACTCTGATAAATACCGAGAGTAGTTATTAATAATTGGTTTACCTCTTTTGGGGACTTTCAACTTGGATACAAAGGACGCAGTGTTGTTTGAAAGATGGACGTGATGATGTGTTTTGCATTGAAAATGCTTGAACAAGTTGCAAGAAGATTTACGGTCGTGCAATGTCATGCAGGAACGGCAGCTCTACTTAGATGGCCTCTTTGTTGGCAATGTCAGGAAATTATTCGGATTTTTTTTTTTTCTTTTGAGGTGCTCTTCTGTTGGAGAGCGATGTAAGTGTGGTGTCATTTGTGTCACCTTAAAATGAGCAACAGGATTTTTTTTTTTTTTTTTTTTTACAGATAATTTAACCAATCTGCTCGGTAATTATTTACGAAGAAATATTTTTGCCCATTGTGGTTGCTATGAAATGGATTAAAATGTTGAAATATGTTTAATGCACATATTTAGTTACCCCCCCCCCAAATAAATCAATGAAATGAAAAAAATGAATGTGCCTTTGCCCAACTTGTGAGGGGCCAAATTAGGCGGTTTTAGGGGTGCTGAGTTGAATGAAGAATGTTTTTTTTTTTTTTTTTTAAGGCCATCCACACTCACCTCGTTATTCATGCGGGCATTGAGCACAGGGGTGCCCAAATGTTTTCATTTGAGGGCCACATTCATAAGGATGCAAGGGCCACTTTAAAACTCTTCAACTTGAATTCATGAAACGTTAAAATCAGTCAAGCAAGCAATGATGTATTGTGAACATTTTACTTTGGACAACTGTTACGTAGCAGCTTTCTGTTAAAGGTGAGGAGGTAAATTGTTGAGCATTTTTCAAGATTTTAGCGTGGCCAACGGCCCCCTGCATCGATCAGTAGCCGAATCCCAGCTCTACGTTCAGAACCAAAACAAGAACAAACTGTAATCAGCTGAGCATTTTTAAAACAGTCACGTGTTAGGGCCAGTCATCTCATCAAAGAACTGAAAACGTTGATGTTCAAGCCTGAATAGGAAGTCCAAGTCACCCTTCCCACTTTTCACTGAACGTCATTTAAAAGCTTGTTGTTGTTTTATGTTGTTGTACCTGTGGCAGAATTGAACAGGATTTGCTCGGAATCGCAACCGTGCATGCAATGACACAATTCAAAAACGCAAATATCCGCCCGAGAAGGATTTCATCCTGATTATTTTGGCCTTTTTTTTTTTTATTTATTTATTAGTCGTCCACTGGAAGACAGAACAATGGCCGAATGAATGAAAACATGCCAAAGCTGTTTGAAAATATCCCAAGTACGGTTGTATGTTTACATCTAAAGCTATAATCTCCGCTTTGCATGCCAGCAGCCAGACATGACCTCCTTTGACGTCCGTTGCTCACCCCCACAACCCCCCCTCGCCGCGTTCCCATACAGCTTATTGCTGCAAGGCTGCGTTCTGGTTTTCTGAGGTTAATTCGTAATGTATAGAGCGAGAGCGTGTTTGTGGAGGAAGGGGGAGGAGACAGGAAAGAAAAACCAGTCTCCTCCACCCCGCCTGCCTGTGAGAATGACTTACATAAGAGTCCCGCGAGGATCCACAGCCTGCTCACGTCACAAAGGTGCAGACGGTGCAGGTGGGGCTCGCGTGGCTCCATCCAGTTTGCCGAGTTAGCAAAACACGCTTTCTGTCAGTGGTACTGAAAGTCATCCAGGAAGCTGTTCTTAGGGTGTACCCGCCATCGTAAGCATACGGACGGTATTCGGAGCTCAGACTCCGTCTGCGGATGATGTTTCATTAACGGGGGAATCCGCAAAGGTTACATCAAGGCCTCTGGACTTTTCACACATCATCCACAGGCGGGCGACAACAACACCCTTTTTGTAGCCCCCCCCCTCCCCCTCCCAGGGTGACTAAATAGGAGGAGGACTCCACAGATAAAATTTTGAACAGAAGAAAGCCTTTTGGATGAAAGGTGAAACGTCTTCATCAGCCCCCCCCAAAAAAAGTCTTATTTCACCCTTTGCGGATTATCGCGACCTGCACGATTGAGAACAGACTTAGAGAGACGAGAAATATAATTGAGGGCAATAAGCGGCTCAGCGCTATGCTGTCTGGCTGCCGCTACTGTTTTTTCACCGCGACGACTGCAAAACAATTTCTTCATGCCAAGCGCAAATGGCCAA